AAGGAGAACTCTAGATGGCTATTTCCAAAAGCCTTCATTCTCCTTTCACGGGGACACGTCCCCTGCAACAGTAGCACTCTTTTGAAGGGTCTAGGATACCCACCTTTGTGAACTAAGCGATGGGAAATGTAATCTGGCTTATTCTGATTCCCAGAGACCTCAGTGATTGGATTGGTTTTCCTGCCAGTTCCAGAAGCATGCGCAGTGAGGAGGCGGGGGTGTGAAGATGGCTGATGAGCAGCCTGTCCCTGAGAGGCTCAGTCAAGGGGGTAGGGGGTGGTGGTGCTGAGCCACGGCGCTGTGACATCACACGACAGACGCCCTACAGAGGGAAGAGCACAGAGAGGGAGCTGGTTTCCACCAGAAAAGGCTGCTCCAAAGACAAGGCATCCGAACTGTGCCGAGGACGCGAGGGCATGGACAAGGCATCCGAACTGTGCCGAGGACGCGAGGGCACGGACAAGGCATCCGAACTGTGCCGAGGACGCGAGGGCACGGACAAGGCATCCGAACTGTGCCGAGGACGCGAGGGCACGGCAGACCGGGTCCTGAGACAGAGTGACTAGAAGAGCGGAGGGAGGCATCAGGGAAGCCTGCCGTGTACTTGAGCAGTACCAAGTGTCCTGATGTGGCTGGAACACTTGAAATAGGATAAATAATAGAAGGAAATTAGATTGAAAGAAACTGGGGCCAGTGTTGTGGCTCAGAAGGTTAAAGGCCCACCCTGCAGCACTGGCATCCCATATTGGTGCTGGTTCAAGTCCTGGCTGTGCCACTCCTGATGCAGCTCCCTGCTAATGTACCTGGGAAAGTAGCAGAAGATGGCCTGAATCCTTGGGCCCCTGCACCCACGTGGGAGACCTGGTGAAGCTCCTGGCTTCAGACCGGCCCAGCTCTAGCCATTGCAGCCATCTGGGGAGTGAGCCAGTAGATGAAAGGTCTTCCATCAGCTGGTTCACTCCCTAGTTGGCTGCAACGGCTGGAGCTGCACCGATCTGAAGCCAGGAGCTTCTTCCAGGTCTCCCATGTGGGTTCAGTGGCCCAAAGACTTGGGCCATCCTCCACTGCTTTCCCAGGCCATAACAGAGAGCTGCTGGATTGGAAGTGGAGCAGCCGGGTCTTGAACTGGCACCTGTATGGGATGCCGGCCCTGTAGGCAGCGGCCTTACTGGCTACGCCACAGTGCCACCCCCTTCCCTGTGGTTTTAGCAGCTGGTCAGCCAATGGGAAGGGAAATGGTGAACACAACGCATGTGCAGTGAAGTCTGTTTTTAAATTCCAAGTCGATGAAATGCTTCACGCCAAAGAGTTTTGATGTGAATGGTCTAGGAAAGAGCTTAGTGCACGCATTAGCTTTTCCCCAGGGAGTAACAGGTCTTTTGAAGGATGTGGTGACTCTTTCCGCCACCGGAGTGCCATTGAGTGAATCACTGACCTGGAGACATAAAGAGAAAAAGCCTGCTTCACTCAAGATTGAGTTGGGAGCCCTTGCATTAATGGGTTAACTGCCCAGGAACCAAAGCAGGGCTGCAAATAAGTCACTAAGTAGAACCTCAATATGGCAGCTTCCGGAATGTCAACCTGAAACTCAGCAAATCAGCAATTACACAAAGGGCCAGGGCTTTGGCATAGCAGGTTAAGTTGCCATCTGTACTACTGCTGGCATCCCGTATGGGTGCTGGTTCGAGTCCCAGCTGCTCCACTTCCAGTCCAGCAAGCAGCCATGTGGGAAACCTGGATGAAGCTCCAGGCTCCTGGCTTTGGCCTGGCCCAGCCCTGACCGTTGCAGGCATTTGGAGAAAGAACCAGCAGATGGAGGATCTCTCTCTGTCCCTCTCTCTCTCTGTAATTCTGACTTTCAAACAAATAAATAAAATTTAAAAAAGAAAAAAGAATTTACACAATGAGATCTGGGTGCCTCTTCCTTCATCCTTCATGCAGACTACCTGTGTCACCTGTCTTGCTTTGCACGGTATTTCTCCCTTCTCTACTCTCTTAGGTCAGCTTGGCGCCTTCTACCTTAAAGAACACATGCGTTCTGGTCCCCAACTTTTTTCCCTCCAAAGAGTCTGCCCACCAGGCAAGAATATTCATCATCTGCTTTTCCTGCTGGGCTCCCAGCCGTCACATCCTCAATTCTGAGCCTGTAAAGGAGCCATTGCTGATGGAACTGCTAAGTGGGGGCAGGAGAAGGCAAGGGTAGGGTGAAACACGAGGCTTGGGATTGCATTGTTGCCACTTTCACGCCCAGCTCCCTCAACGCCCAAAGTGAACTCCACGTGCAGTTGGGATACAGTGACTGCCTGTGCTTGATAGAAGAGCCAGTTTGCAGGGTAGGGCAGCCAGGGTCACACAGATACTTCCAAACGTTTGTGGGAAACAGGATTAAAAGATCAGTGAATGTTGTGCAGAATTTGTGATATCCATGCATTGTTTTCCAGGACTTCTTGAAGACCCATAATATGTCACCCTGTATCTCACCTTCTGCCCTCATTGCCACTTGCAGGAAATTGGCTGCTAATGTCTAATCAGATACTGCATTTTTGTAAAGACATGATTTAATCCTGTTCAGTAGTAAAGGGTTGAGTTTTCTTTCGTTTGATTTAGTTCATTGCCCTGAATATCAAAGCTCATAATGTGTTAACTGGGTTTTCCTTTTGTGTCACTCAACAAGCTACATGAAAAATACAAAGAGAAAAACAGTTATTTGGAAACAATGCATTGAAGAATGTTAATTGAATTTAAATTGGACATAGCCACGATGTAAAGCATAACTGAAAACTTCAAAGGAGACTCGTGCATCATATGTCATAAGTGTGATTTCTTTTGGGTAAAATATTCACTGTAAACCTACAGATGGAACTCATGCTCCAGTTCATTATTTTTCGATGATAAAATGTCTTGAATTTCTTGTGTTTATAAATTTCTTAAATGAAGGCCGAAATTTCCACTTCCAGTTAATCTAAGAATAGCAAACATAACCCTGCGTTCCTGGCACGGTCTCATTATTCTTGCCGGGCCCATCCAGAGACTGTCACAGACGGGATTCTAAATTACTGTGGGACCCTCAGATAAATTCTACTGAGAAAATAACTATTTTCCTTATTTTTGATGATATATATTTCCTAGCTTCCCAGGGATGAACTTGCATAGCTGTTTTCTTTTTAGTTAAATGCATTTGGGAGGCTAATGGTAAAGCCACCACTTGTGACAGCAGCATCCCATTTGAGCACCGGTTGAAGTCCTGACTGCTCCATTTCTAACCTGGCTCCCTGCTAATGCACCTGGGAAAGCAGCAAATGATAGCTCCAGTAGTTGGACCCCTACCACCTACATGGAGACCCAGATAGAATTCTAGGCTCCATGGCCAGCACCGCGGCTCACTAGGCTAATCCTCCACCTGCGGCGCCGGCGCCCTGGGTTCTAGTCCCGGTTGGGGCGCTGGATTCTGTCCCGGCTGCCCCTCTTCTAGTCCAGCTCTCTGCTGTGGCCCGGGAGTGCAGTGGAGGATGGCCCAAGTGCTTGGGCCCTGCACCCGCATGGGAGACCAGGAGGAAGCACCTGGCTCCTGGCTTCAGATCGGCGCAGTACGCCGGCCTTGGTGGCCATTTGGGGGTGAACCAATGGAAGGAAGACCTTTCTCTCTGTCTCTCTCTCTCTCACTGTCCACTCTGCCTGTCAAAAAAAAAAAAAAAATAGAATTCTAGGCTCCTGACTTTGGCCTGGCCCAGCCCTGGCTGTTGTTACCATTTGGGGAGTGAACCAGTGGATGGAAGATCTCTTTCTCTCTCTGTCTCTCACTCTCTGTCACTCTGCCTTTCAAGTAAATAAAATAAATCCTTAAGTGCGTGCATGTGTGTGTTATCTGTCTTGCCTCTAAGAACATCATCATCCTTGCCTCTTAGAAAACTGACCTGTGGGAGCTGGAGTTGTGGCACAGCAGAGAGGCCAGCATCCTGTGCAGACACTGGTTCTGGCCCCAGCTGCTCTGCTCTGACCCAGCTGTCTGCTAATGTGTCTGGAAAAGCAGCAAAAGCTAACTCAAGCACTTGGGCCCCTGCCACCCAAGTGGGAGACCTGAATGAAGCTCCTGGCTCCTGGCTTCAGCTTGGCCAAAGCAACCATTTGGGGAATAAACCAGTAGATGGAAAACCTCTCTCTCTCTCTCTCTATCTCTCTCTCTCTATCTATCTCTATCTCTATCTCTATCTCTTCTCTCTCTCCTCTCTCTCTCCAACTCTGCCTTTAATAAGTCTTTTAAAAGAGCAAACAAAAGAAAAAAAATGACTACAGAAATGTGAACCTGACATTGCCTGGGGCTCCCTGCTGAGATCTAAGCTGTCCCTGGGAGAGAACTTTCTCTAGGCTGTCCTGGGCATGTCCACGCTAGGGTCGAAGCACAGGTTTGCAGCCCTCAGTTTACCCCACCTCTTCTCTTCCTCAACATCTCCAGCCATGACCATTCATCCTCTCCCACAATCAGCTTCCGCCATCACCCTGGGTAGCTTGTGGAAACCTGAACCTCACTTACTGCCTTCCTGTAGTGAGTCTTTAGTGTCCCCGTGTGATGTGTATGCTGCAACTGAACCTTCCTTGGCCCTTGGAGATATTGATCTTAGCCAGAAATTTCTGTGGAATTAAGTCTCTGTTTTTTCCCTCATTTTTATTCTTTTAAACTGTGGCAAATGCATATGACATAAAATGTACCATCTTAACCATGTTGAAGTAGACAGTAGAGTGGCATTAGGTACACGGCATCGTTGTGCAGCCGTCACCACGCTCCTTCCACCAGGAGCTAGAATATTCTTAAGTCCTATTTCATGTTCCTACCACCACCAGGAGGCTGCCGCCCTAAAGCGATGAACTGTAAAATGAGCAGTGGACTTATACTGCCTCGAGGAAGCTTTGTCTCTTAGGGCTGCACAACTGAAATTTTAACATAGTTCTGATGCATTGAAGTGACGCTATCAATTTCCTTTTTTCTCCCTCTCTCTGCACAGCTCTGAGCAGCGCGTCCCCTGTTCCACTACTTACCACAGCTCTGGTTTGCACTCTGGTGACGGTGTCACAAAAGCAGGACCCTTGGGCCTTCCAGAAATAAGACAAGTGCCAACTGTTGTGATTGAATGTGATGACAATAAAGAAAATGTGCCTCACGAGTCAGACTATGAAGACTCTTCTTGCCTATACACGAGAGAAGAGGAGGAAGAGGAGGAGGAGGAGGAGGATGACAGCTCATTGTATACCAGTACGTACATCCCAGTTCTCCCCGGGGAAGGCCAACTTGGCATTGAGAAGAGAGAGCTAACCCAGCCGCCCAACCATCTGGGTTCCAGTCCCGGCTCTGGTGTGGCCTGGCCTTGGGTCCCAGGGCAGCTGTTAACCTCTTGGAGCCTCAGTTCCTTCACCAGTAAAACAAGAAAGTGAATGTCCTCTAAGCACCCTCATGGCTGCAAAACTGGCAGCGCCTGTCCGCCACCTCCTACCTCCTGACATGGTCTTTCCTTTGTTGGTTCCCTTGGGAAGGGAATGAGTGCTCAACAGTCCTTATCTAGAAAAAATTCGAGCCGGCGCCACGGCTCACTAGGCTAATCCTCCGCCTAGCGGCGCCGGCACACCGGGTTCTAGTCCCGGTCGGGGCGCTGGATTCTGTCCCGGTTGCCCCTCTTCCAGGCCAGCTCTCTGCTGTGGCCAGGGAGTGCAGTGGAGGATGGCCCAGGTGCTTGGGCCCTGCACCCCATGGGAGACCAGGAAAAGCACCTGACTCCTGCCATCGGATCAGCGCGGTGCACCAGCCGCAGTGCGCCGGCCGCGGCGGCCATTGGAGGGTGAACCAACGGCAAAGGAAGACCTTTCTCTCTGTCTCTCTCTCTCACTGTCCACTCTGCCTGTCAAAAAAAAAAAAAATTCAGAAATACTAACTACTGGGGCAGGCATGTGGCCTAGTAGCTAACACGTGGGTTAAGACCCTCACATCCCATATTGGAGTGCCTGGGTTCAAGTCCTGGCACTGCTCCTGATTCCGGCTTCCTTGGACTCAACAGGTGATGGCTCAGGTCCTTGGGCCCTGCCCTCCGTGTGTGAGACCCGGATTGAGTTCCTGGCTCCTGGCTTCAGCCTGGTCCAGACACAAGCATTGAGGGCAATCTGGGAGTCAATTAGCAAATAGGAACTCTGTATCTGTCACTCAAGTAAATAATTATTTTTTGAGTGAAGTAAACACTAACCACTGTTTATGGAACAAATCCATTTTTAAGCATAGCTCAGCAACCAGAGGTGGTGAGGATTTAAATTTATTATTTAAGACCTTTAAAGAAACAAGAGAAGAAATAAAGAAAGCAAAGTTCAAAATCTATGCGTGCCATGAATAACAGGTAGATTTTAGTGATATGAGTATAGCCTAATGTTTGGTCAGCTTTTTGGTCAGTAAGTTGATTGCATACAGTGTGCCTGCCAGCATGCTCAGACCGTATTCTCATCTGCATCTTACAACAAGCCCCTGGCACAGACCCTTTTGCCCCATGTCACAGGTGGGGAGGGAAGCAGCCAGTGCGGAGCTGGATTGCTAAGGGGCAGTGCTGGCACTTGATACCAACTGTAGGGGATTCCAAGGCCCCTGTTCTAGAACCAGGAGAGGAGGAGAGAAAAGTCCTGCTAGATAAAAGTCAAAGGAACCCCCGCATTTGCTGCTGGCCGGTGCCTGCCTCGTGCTGTCAACTTAGCGGGCGTTGGGTAGCCAGCTAAATGGGAGAGCTAGTAAGATAGCTCTCACTGACATCTGTGCAGTGGTCAGAGGGAGGCTGAGGAGAGAACCAGAGAGGGGCAGCCGGAGACCTGAAGATCTGCGAGTAGAAGCAGCGGCTGTTACTCCTGTTAGCCATTGGACGTCCAGGGATCTGAGTGTTTCCTACCAGGCTTCTCAGCCGCAGCGCTCTGACCGTTCTGGACCACACTGTCCTCTGTGGGGCTGTCCTGTGCACTGCAGAATGTCCAGCCGGAAGCCTGGCCCCCATGTGCTAGATGCCCGCAGCCACCTCCCCACGGCAACTCCACTTACAGACAGAGCCCCCAGCTGCCAGCTCGCAAGCCAAGTCCCCCGCATGGGTGGCAGGAACCCAGTTCCTGAGCCATCCCCGCTGCCTCCCAGGGTGCTTATGAAAAGAGAAGCTGGAGTCAGGAATCAGAGCTTGAGCCCAGGCACCCCAGCATGGAACACGATGTCTTGTCTTGGGTTTCGACCACGAGGCTCAGCATCTGCTGTACCATCCCAGTTTTCACAACCACAAATGCCTCTGGGCTTCGCCAAGTATCCCAGAACTCATATGTTAAAAAGAAAAAAAAAATCCAGACTACTGCCTATTTCAAAGATCTTCCGTTCACACCCACCCCCAAATGGGCCCCCTCTGTCCACCGCACTTCACCTGCCTCCCTGTCCCCCAGCGCTGGCTTAGCTGATCTCTCCATCTCTGGAGATGCCCCCGTGCCCCCTGCTGCCTGTGGGAGTCTCACCTGCCCTGCAGGGGCCAGCCCTCTTCCTCTGCAGAGCTTCTGCGGGAGAGGGGAAGGCCGTGTCCTCGCTCCTCTTTGCAGTCTCTTGCAGTCTGCAGCCGGTGCCACCATCCTTTCTGCACACCGGGAGGCTCAGAGGGCAAGGATCCGATCACTGGCTCCCCGTGGCTGCCCACATGCCCCGCACAGTGCTGGGTGTGCAGAGGGTGCGGAGGGCAGGAGCTCTACGAACGGAGGCTTTACTCACTCTCAGGAGTTAAGCCCTTTATGTCTTTCTTGCTGCCTTCTACCCGACGGCCCGAGGTTGGTCTTAGAGGAGCATGGGCAGATACGAGTCAGCGTTAACTGCTGTGCTTCTCCTTCCTGCAGGCTCCCTGGCCATGAAGGTGTGCAGGAAGGACTCCTTAGCCATCAAACTCAGCAACAGGCCCTCCAAGCGAGAGCTGGAAGAAAAGAACATCCTCCCCCGGCAGACGGATGAGGAGAGGCTGGAGCTGAGGCAGCAGATCGGCACCAAGCTCACCAGGTAAGATGCAGCACCGTCTCACCTGGCTGCTGAGCCTGGCTCTGCAGACGCGGGCAGGACTCCATCTCCATCCCCGCTCCGCCACCAAGCCAACGGAAGACATCCCTTTCTGCCCCCACGCGTGGTCTATCGTTCTTCTTCACCCATGCAATTGTTGGATGTTTCATGGGATCTGAGGTTCAGGGATAAACTGAGGGGCAGGTTTCCAGGGAGAAGAACCACCTGCAGAAAAGCCACCATCATTCCATAAGATTGAGGTCCTACCTGCATGTGAGTTACGGCTAGACAAAGGACGATGCAAAGGGATACACTCTCTGCTGCACGGTTAAGTTGTTGGTAATGACGTCTCATTAGTACCCGGAGGGTCTTCCTGAGTGTCTGCCCTTTGTGTACGCGTGCTACAGACATCAGCGTAACTTTCAGTTAATACACTAAATGCCACCATACGTATTTGTCATCTGGGGCATGTTTTTATGGTATTTGGTAACATTTGTTGCGCACCTACTATCTGCCTGGCATTCCTCTCAGTATTTTCTATGCATTAAATGATTTTATCTTTGAGCCTCCCTATGAGATAAACATTTCATGCCCATTTTACAGATGGGAATACTATGGCATGGAGAAATCAGTTACCTAGTACGGTGTCACACAGAACGGCTCTGAAGCTTCTGCCTTTGCCACTGTACAAACATTGCACTGACTCTTTATGATAGCGGTAGAATGATGAGTCCTTGCTTTGTACAGACACTGCTGAGTGTTGGGGTATAGTATGTAGACGTCTGCCAGGATTCAATCCCCACTCTCCGTCCTTCTGTAGCCTTAAGTGAGTCACCTATTTCTTTACCTGTGCATTTGTAAGATGGCGAGTTATGAAAATGCAAGTTGGTGTAGCTATTTAGAACAGCACCAGGGGCTGGCATCATGGCGTAGCGGGCTAAGGCACAGTGCTAGCTTCCCGGTAGCTGCTGGTTTGAGTCCCGGCTGCTCACTTGCAGACTCTCGCTCTCTCACGCTCATGCTTTGACTTTCCCTCTTTCTCTGTAGCTGCCATTCAAATAAAAAAATAATAAATCTTAAAAAAATTCTTGGGCTGTCATGGCATAATGGGTAAAGCTGCCACCTGCAACACTGGCATCCCATGTGGACACTGATTTGCTCCACGTCCGATCCAGCTCTCTGCTATGCCCTGGGAAAGCAGCAGAAGATGACCCAAGTGCTTGGGCCTCTGCACCGACACGGGAGACCTGGAAGAAGCTCCTGAATCCTGGCTTCCAGTTGGCCCAGCCCTGGCCATCGCAGCCATTTGGGGCATGAACCAGCAGATGGAAGATTTCTCTCTCTGTCTCTCCCTTTCTCTCTGTAACTCTGACTTTCAAGTAAATAAAATAAATCTTTTTTTTTAATTGTCAAAAAAAAGTGCCTAATATATAACTAGCAAGGACTCTATTATCTTGTGTTTTTTTTTTTAAGAGATTTATTTACTTATTTGAAAGACTTACAGAAAGAGAGGGAGATACACACACACACACACACACACACACACAGAGACAGAGAGAGAGAGAGAAAGAGAGAGAGAGAGATTTTTCCATCTGCTGGTAAACTCTCCAGATGGCTGCAATGGCCAGGGCTGAGCCATGCAGGAGCCAGGACCTTCATGTGGGTCTCCCATGTGGGTGGCAGGGCCCAAGCTCTTGGGCCATCTTCTGCTGCTTTTCAAAGGCCAAGAAAGCTAGCTCAGCAGTGATCCAGCAGGAAGCCGGGTCAGAAGGGAGCAGCCTGCACTGAAACCGGCACTGATATGGGATGCCAGCATCGCAGGCAGCGACCTCAGTTATCATTGTGATTACCCTGTTTACTCTTCCGCTGTCCAGATCTCTCTGATTACCTCAGTGCTAGGTACTCTCTAGAGGGTCTGCCCCATCATTGAACTGAAATCCCTGTCCCTGCAACTCCCACCCATTGGTCTTGTTCTGTTCCTCATCCCTCTTCGCGTAGCAGGTTCTTGAGCACTAGACAATGATCTTGGCTGGCCACCCAGCTCTGCTACCCCAGGCCCCGGATACCCAAACCTTGTCCCTGCACTTGGGAGTTGTAGTCCTAGACTGCTTCCTGGCCCAGTTTATTCAAGTTTGCACACATTACAAGTAGGGTTACCCCTTTGGGCTGGTAAGAAGGAGAGAAGGAGCAGAGCCTTCTTGACCCTAGACAATCAGCCCCGCCTCCCAAACAGGGGCACATTTTACCATCACTCTTTCCTCTTACCTCCCATTTCTCCACCTTTGCTTTGCACCTTTCTCCAAGCAGAGCCCCAGGTATGTGAGTGCCGATGGAAGACATCTCTGCAGATGTGAGAGATGCCAGCAAATCCGGCTTCTCCCAGCAGCATCTTAGGTGGAGAGTAGAAAGATGGGAGACTCGGAAAGCAGATGTATAAGGCTGGCCACCTGCTTGTTCATGCTAAAGCCCTTCCCCTGTCAGTGACCGGAAAAATGGAAAAGGACATCATTGTCCCAGAGAGAGTCAGCCCCCAGCCTCTCATGTCTCAGTCCATGTCTGCATACCAACACCATGGCCAGCTGGCCGTGGCAGTAACAAAACCCAGAAGAAGAAGAGTGTTATTTTTTTAAAAGATTTATTTATTTATTTATTTATTTGAAAGTCAGAGTTACACAGAGAGAGGAAAGGCAGAGAGAAAGAGAGAGAGTTGTCTTCCATCTGATGGTTCACTCCCCAGTTGGCCGCAACGGCCAGACTGTGCCAATCCGAAGCCAAGATCCAGGAGCTTCTTCCGGATCTCCCACATGGGTAGACTTCCCTGGGCCTGAATTTCATCACATGAAGGGATTAGACCAGGTATCTGACCACTATGTGCAAAATCCATGCTCCCTTATCAGCACAAGTGGCTAAAAGAATGGGGACATTTGCTGAGGAGTTTACATTTCTGAAGCCACAAGGCTATGACACTCTGTGGCTGTTTGAGACGGTAGTAATATACTGGAAATCTTAAGCTCTTTGAAAAGCATGCAGCCAAGGCTGCTGTACTCATGGAGTAAGCAAGATGGAAAACATAATTTTAGCTTGACATTTTTAATAGCATCAAAAAAAAAAATATGTGCAGCACTCCAAGAATACTCCCAAATTGGGGGCAGGAGTGTGGGACAGAAACACCAAGCAGAATGATGTCAGTTTCTGCAGAACCACTCAGCATCGAGGCAGTTTCTACATGAAAATGCAAGTTATTGTTCTTCCAAAAACATTTGCTCATTGAGGCTGCTGGGAAGAGTCTCTTAAACCTCAGCCAACAAGTCATGTGGATTTCCTTACAGTAAATGAAAATTCCAACCAACCACCACTGGGGAAGTATGGACTGCCCCCAGAGACTTGAGAATGGTCAATGCAGTGTGCACGTCTTCTGTTCCCTATGTGTACAGACTCAGAGATGGTGCAGGAAACTAAGGAGAAAGCAAAACCATCCACTGGTGTCTGGGATGAAAATAGTAGAGCTTCTATTAAAATGTGTTCTATATTATTCTTTTTAATTTGGTTATTAATGTGCATGGAATATCAGTGCATTAGTGAGGGCACATGCCCAGATTTTTCTTGATGGAGTTCTTAAAATGCCTACAGTCTGCTGGTCTGAGAGGCACTTCTCTGTGAGCTCTGCCCTTTCTCTAGTGACCTCTCATCAGTGAAAATGCAGAGAACCTGAGACCATCTGAGCTCCCCGTGCTAGACTATGCTGCTTTCTCTTTGAGTCTTCTTAGGGGCCCTAAAGCTGAACCCTGAGAAGCCATCGGCCTAACTAGAAGAGCTTAGCTATATATCCACTTCTAGTTCCTTCATTTCCCAAATATTTCATTCCCCCAAGTGATGTCTAATCCATGTGGCTCTATTTTATTTATTTGCATCTAAGATGTCCTCTCCCCTAAACCAGCATTATAGAAATTAGACATGGAGCCGTGCTTCTCAAAGTGTGTAGTTCAGCTGCCATGTTAGGGCACCCTCTTATCAGCCAGGGACAGTGCCTTCTGATCCATCACTTCCCACTTGGGGCACTGGTTAATTAATGAAATGAAGCTCCCCTGCCCACTTCCCCAGAGGTTGACCTTAGGACTCTGGGAGTCGGGTTAAGAAATAATGCGTTAGAAAGGGAGGCATTTTGTAAGTCCCTAGGACTTTATTTAAAGGGAAAGTACTAAGACCCTGGACTTGATCACTCAGCAGTCAGTGCACTGTGGGCCTTTCCTGGGGAGCAGCCAGCTTTTTCATACCCAGCTAAGAGATCCACAGGTCCAAGTGTCTCCGTCTGAGTTCCCCTGCCTGGGTCGTCTCCATATCCCCTATGATGTTGGCATCAGACAGTGAGGGGAAGGCCAGGGAAGAGAAATAAAATGGAAGGTTTCTCCCCGTGTCTGCAGGAGTACACGTGTAATCTAAATTAAGTGCAGGAGTAAATGGGAACTCGAGCAATCTGCCTCCCTGACATATTCCTTCTCTTGAAAAACTCTTCACCCATAAAATACCACCCTACCAATCAGACTGCGTCAATCTGAAGCCAGGAGCCAGGTGCCTCCTCCTGGTCTCCCATGCGGGTGCAGGGCCCAAGGACTTGGGCCATCCTCCACTGCCTTCCTGGACCACATCAGAGAGCTGGACTGGAAGAGGGGCAACGGGGACAGAATCCGGCGCCCCAACTGGGACTAGAACCTGGGGTGCTGGTGCCGCAGGCGGAGGATTAGCCTAGTGAGCCGTGGCGCTGGCCAGATATTCACTTAATTTAAGTTACTGCATATGCTTACTATGTAGGGCTGTCTTCACAAAGTAGCATAAACTGAGAGGCTTACAAAACAGAATTTTTTTTCTAATATTTAAAACATTTATTTGTATTTATTTGAAAGGCAGAGTGTTGGGAAGAGGGGGAGAGAGAGAGAGAGATCAATCTTACATCTACTGGTTCACTCCCCAGATGGCCTCAATGGCTGGAGGTTAGTCCAGGACAA